ATAGACTGCTTAACACAATGCCTGGCACAAAGAAAGTATCAAAAAATGTTAGCAAATAGAAATAATATTTTTCATTTTCACACCAATTCTGTAACACAGAGAGATCAAATCACATGCCCAAAGTTGCACAGTTAAAAACAGAGCAGTATTGAGCACAGGGCCTCTACCAGCACATTGATAGCCTGAGACACAAAAAAACGGGGTCTGCAGGGGTTTGGCAGACCTTGGCCAGGGAACCCACAAGCCATGGCAAAGAGGCACCAAAGTGGGTGGAAAGAAAATGTCCAGTTAGCATCAGATCCCTAAAGCAGTACTCTTGCTCTCCGCTGAGCTGGGGCTCTGCTGGGTTGGGGATCCACACTGGAAAGAAGCAGAGCTTCCCCAGGAACGCGCGTCCTCGCCCAGCCCTCTTCCTTTCCCACTTATTAAAAAGAGCGCAGGAGCAGCGAGGATCCTCCAGGATGACTGTATGCGTGCTGCGGGGCAAGGGGTCTTCCCATTCAGCGGTGGAAGGCAGTGGCCAGCCAAGCAGCCCGGCGCGCAAAGAACGCTGTCGTGGGGCAACTGGGAGGAGAGCTGGCGGGTAGGGAGCAGGATCGTGCCATCGGCAGGGGTGGGCCATTGGCACCCCCGGGTTGCGCGGGCTTGGCGGGCATCGGGTCCCGGAGGCACCAGAGATGCCCGGAGCCCGGGCCGCACGGGGCCTGCGCTGCCAACCGCAGCTTTTGGGGAAACACCCTGCCAGCTCCTGTTGCAGCGGCTGCCATCGAGGAGGAGCCGCGGAGAGCCGCTGACAGCACCCGCCCTGCCCCGAGTMGGGGCCCGCGCCCCCCGCGCGTCCCCCCAAGCGCCCCAGGGGTACCTGCGAGACCCCCCATCGCCGCAGTTCCTGGCTGTCTGTAGACCACCGTCCAGACCAGGAAGATGGAGAAGCCGGCCACCGAGCTGATGCCCGAGTAGGCGGCACGGAGCCCAAGCTGCAGCCGGGACGGGGCCATGGGGCTGCGGCGCCAGGAGGACGGAGAGCGAACGTGGCCGAGTCACAGGTGCAGGGTCCGGAGCCCCAGCCGGAGCCCGAGCCACGGGCACCCGGCGCTCCGCCCCAGCCCGCCCCCGGCGCCGCCGGCACAGCGCCCTCCCCGGCCGGAGGCCGCCCTCGCCGCGATGGGCGACCGCATCACCCGGGATTTGACAAACCACCTGATCGCTTGAAGGGTGTCTGCTGGAAGGGCAGGTTCCTCCACTCATTCCCAGACGAGCTACCGAGTCAGGATAGCTGGGCCTTGGCGGCGCCCAATATGCCTTTGAACAAACCAGCTTCGGTGATTACGTTCTAAATTAAAAATATCTCTGTATAGGAGGTGCATTCTCATTTAAAGTTAAGACTGCAGTTTCTCGTATAGAATTAATGTATACAGAGCCGGTAGTGGTGGTACATGCCTGTAATCCCAGCAACTAGGGAGGCTGAGGCAGGATTGCAAGTTCTAAGCCAGCTTCAGCAATTTAGTTCCTGTCTCAAAAATAACGAACAAACTTAACTAACTATCTAACTAAGTAAGTAAGTAACTAAATAGCTGGGGGTGTAACTAAGTGGTAGAGCACTCTCCTAGCATGCAAGGCTCTGGGTTCCATTCCCAGCATATATGTGTTATGAGTGTCTATGTACACACTCACACACACACACACACACACACACACACACACACACATCTGGGGGCAGTGCTGGGATTTACATATGGAAGTCTGGGTTGCAGCTCAGTGGTAGAGCTCAGTGTGTGAGACCCTGGGTTCCATAATCTACACTCCTCCCCCCGCCAAAAAAAAGAAAAAGAAAAATTAGTGAATATAGTAGTAATTTATCCCACCCACATTCCTATCAACCAAGTTCCCTTCCCACAGACTTTTGTACATTTCAGAAGATTCCTCCACACACCAAAATCACCTTCTAACCCCAAACACATTATCTTCACTAAAATTCCCCTTTCCTTTGGTCTTCACAATTCTCATCCTCCAAATCCCACTAAACATCCCCCCCAACATTTGGAATCAGAGGATGCCAGAGTAGAGCCTGAATCTACAGCAGTATCCTGATCTCTCACTGTGAGCCCAGCTCATGCTGGGAGCTGGCGAGAGAGTCAAAGCGTAACCAGGGCTCGGCCATGGAATACTTGAAGTCTACTTGGGGAGGCTCATCACAACCTGCACAAAATAGGTAACCAGTACTCCTTGTCCTCATTTCCTCTTGCTGCTTTAACAGATTACCACAGATATAGTGGCTTAAAACAACACAAACTTTTATCATCTTGTAGGTTAGAAATACAAATAGGAGTCTCACTGGACTAAAATCAAGGGACTGTCAGGTTGCCTTACTTCTGGAGGCCCTGGGGGAGAATCTGTTTCCTTGACTTCAGCAGCTTCTGGAGGCTGCCCCCAGGCCTTGACTTATGGCTATCTTCTTCCCACCTTTCCTTGTGATTGAGGACCCCAGTAATTACTCCAGGAAAAGCTCCACATCTCAAGATTCTTAACTTTATCATATTAACAAAATCCCTTTGCCAGTTAAGATAACATATTCCCAGGTTGTGGGGCTCATAATATTGACATCTTGGGGGAGCCATTATTCTGCTTACCACATCTTTCTGGAAGGTAAATTCCATGAGCAAGTTTCATCCACCCCCAACACCTGCAAGAATGTCTGGCACATAATAATCCCTTAATAAACATTTGTTGAATAGGTGAGTATGAGTGAATAAAGAATTAAATAATAATAAAGGGGATTACACACAGGGAACCTAGTTGGACATGCTTAATTGTCAAATGAGTGATATAAACTAGTAAAAATTACCTTTGCATTACTTTAGATTAATTTGAAGATTGTTTTTAAAAATTAAAAAAAAAATTAGCCAGGCATGGTGGCATATACCTGTAATCCCAGTAACTCCAGAGGCTGAAGCAGAAGGATCACAAGTTCAAAGCCAGCCTCAGCAATTTAGCAAGGCCCAAAGTAACTTAACAAGGCACTATCTCAAAATAAAATATAAAAAAAGCTGGGGATGTGGCTCAGTTATTAAGCCTCCCTGGGTTCGATTCCTGGATACCAAAAATAAATAAATAGAATAAAACAAAAATAAAAACATTAAGTCCAAATCCTGTTTTTGCCTATTACATATTGAATCTGAGAGTGTATTTTTTTTTAATAAGAAGCTATTTTAAGGCAACAAGCTAAGCACTCAGCACTCCTTTAGGAGCTACTGGTTGTTCAGAAGTGAGGGTGAACTCCATTGTCCAGAGCACATTGCCATGGATGCCTTCTGAGCTGGCCAGGATGGACGACAACATAGGAAATGAGAACGGCACATGTGATGACCTCCCAGAGGGAAGGAATAACAGGGCAGGTTCAGGAACTATCAGAAAGTTTGTGGCTAGACACTCAGGTTTCCAGTGGTGGGTTTGAGATTAGAAAGGCTCTTGTTTGGCCTCTGCCCCTGCCTTCCCCCCAACCCCCAACACCTACAAGAATGGCACATAATAATCCCTTAATAAACATTTGTTGAATAGGTGAGTATGAGTGAATGGGGATCAAACCCAGGGCTGGGTTGGATGTGGTAATGGAGGGAGTAACAACTCTGTGCTTTAGAAATACTGAAGAGAGTAACAGTGTGAGGGCAGAGTGCCCAGGAAAGACTAGATGCAGAGGGCAGTAGGACACCTGATCAACTCCTGGTGCACAGGTTACTGCATCTCTTAGATGAAGACAGCTGTGATATCTCCTCAAGTTGTTGTGACGAGGAGTGGGTGCTGAGAAGACTGCCTTGCACATCAGAGGTACTTGACAAAAGCCAGAAAGTGTGATTAGTAGTAGCAGAAGGCTGTCATATCAAGAGGTGACAAGGGGCCTCAGAATTGATTAGGTGGAGGTGGAGAAAAGGGAAAGAGGGAGCCAATTCCAGAAACACTTAAGCTATTTGAACCTAAAGGTCAGGCAGGAATTCATTATCCGGGCCAACAGAAAGGAGGACAGCAAAAATATTGAGTGGACATAGTAGGAGTATCAGAGAGTAGTGAGAGAGCAAACGAGCTGGAGACTGAGATTGTGCAAGAAAAAAGACAATTATGTAACAGTAGTTTAGGCTCAGGTTGTACAAGATCAATTTTGTATTTTAGATTTTTTTTTTAATTGTGGAAACAGTAAGCAGCTATTAAAAGGCTTGAGATTCAAATGGGATCAGAGGCTCATTTTCACCATTTACTGTATGACCCTGGACAGATTTCCCTAACTCAGAGCTGCCTAGTGGAACTTTCTGCCACAAAGGAAACAGTTTATATCTGCATTCTACACTAGTCACATGCGGCTACTGAGTGCATGATATGTGGCTAATGTGACTGTGGAGCTAATTTTTTTTATTGCATTTATTATTATTATTATTATTATTATTATTATGGGTACTGGGACTTGAACTCAGGGGCACTCACCCACTGAGCCACACCCCCAGCCCTATTTTGTATTTTATTTAGAGACAGGGTCTCACTGAGTTGCTAAACACTTTGCCATTGCTGAGGCTGGTTTTGAACTTGAGATCCTCCTGTCTCAGCCTCCCACGCCACTGGGATTACAGGTGTGTGCCACCACACCTGGCTCAACAAATTATTAATGCTGTTGTTGAAATTGTTTATTGTCAATATTGAAATGCATACCAGGAATAAGCAATGTCTTCAGAAGATTAGCTAGACTGTGACATCCAGGTTAGATTTGATGGGAAAAGAAGATTATAGAGGAGAAAGCCTTTACAAGGCCATTTGGGATAATTAAGATCTTATCTGGAGAGAGACCATGGGAATGGGAAAGAATGGACTGTAGAGCTATCACACATACAAGTCTTCTCACATCAACTTCCTTTCCTAAGAGCACACACCTGTCCCATCCCAGGGTAGATATCTCTGCATCCCCTACATGACAGCAACTGTCCCTGTATGCAGCAGAGACCACTAATACTCACCAATATCTGTGGATCTCTTCTGGGCATGTGACCTACTAAATTTGAACTCCACTTCCAAGCCTCCTTGTAGTTGAATGGATGCCACAGGACTGAGCTCTGAGAAATAGAATGAAGGCAGAAGCAATATGTGCCATTTCCAGCTGGATTCATGACAATTTCCCTTATGTCCTGCAGTCCCTCTTTTCAATGTGTGATGATTTTAAAGAGGCCATATGTTGAAGATGGTGGTAGCACAGGATGGAAAGAGTCTAAGAGCCCTGAATAAACAAATGAATGGAGTGGAACCACCCCCTTTCATTCCCTAGAACCTCACTGAACTGCAACTTGAATGAGTAATGAACTTCTGTGGTGTTAAGCCCCTGTGATTTGGGTGTTGTTTGTTACAGCTAACTTGTTATCCTATAATATTATCCCTCATTCCATTTCAAGTCATCTAAACAGGTTCTATATAGATTAACTGAATCGGCAGTCCTTCTGAAGTCACTTTTGAATTGGGCCTCACCAGCTGGGCATGGTAGTGCACCCCTGTAATCCCAGCAGCTCAGGAGGCTGAGGCAGGAGGATCTCAAGTTCAAAGCCAGCTGCAGCAACAGCCAGGTGAGGCGCTAAGCAACTCAGTGAGACCCTGTCTCTAAAATGCAAAAAAGGGCTGGGAATATGGCTCTAGGGTTGAATGCCCCTGAGTTCAACCCCCGGTACCCCTCCCCACAAAAAAAAGAGTTGAATTGGGCCTTACCAATATTAACACAGAATTTTTTTTTTTAAATGGTGCTGGAGATGGAACCCAGGGCTTTGTGCATGCTAGGCAAACACTTCTACCACTGAGCTATGTCCTCATCCCATTAAAACAGGTTTCTAACTCCCATTTGCAGACATTCTGCCTCCTAAGAAATTCCTTCCTCACTCCCCACAAAAAGCCACATTCCAGACATCTATCTTCTCCCATAATGTTACGTCAAGGACACCTGCCCTGAGCTGTCTTCTTGTTGATTGAGTTTATTTGACTTGTCAGAACTTCCCCCTCTCTCTTCCTTCATACCACACAGAAGGACTACTGATGTCCCCTGAGGCATGTCCTTATTCACCATGACCACAGGTTCAAACCAGGCGCCATCCCTGAGTCCTCCCATTCCTTCACATGCCGCATCCAATGTCCTAGTAAATCTAGATGATCTTCCCTGTCCTTTTTCTCCATCCCCACTGCCACCTTCATCCAATCACATCATCACCTGCCCATTTGCAACAGCCTCCTACCTGGTCCTTCCGCTCATTCCCTCCCTTCAGTTCCATCTCACCCAGAAGCTGGCCTGATCTTTCTAAAATTACATTCAGAACATGGAACTCCCTGCTTCCCTCCCTGAAGAGCTTCCCATAGCTCTTAGGGAAAACTGGTCAGCATCTTGCCCACTCCAACCAGCCTCACCCTGCTCTTCACTTCAGGCACACAAATGTGCCATACTTGTTCCTGCGCCAGGCTCTTTGTACTTTGTGTCTGGAAAGCTCTTCTCTGAGGGCTTATAAGATTTGTCTCTCATCATTCAAGTCTCAGCTCAAATGTTCCCCCCTAAAGATGCCATCCTTGTTCTCTCTCCATAGCATTCACCAATCTGTGAAACTGTCTTGGGAATTTCTCCTTTCCAATAAATATCCCTGCAATAAATAATGGCAGGCAGTCCACAACAATTATTTGATCCTGTCTCTAGGGGGCAGCATTTCCTAACCCTGTGCCTTCAAACTCAACTGTGCAGGCTGGGCTAAAATCTGTAATTTAGCTAATAAGTTCCACAATATTCTCCCTACACCTTACCTGGTCATTGGTCCTTCCCCAACCCTTGTAGAGTTCAAGGCAGAGTAGCCTGGATGTGGCGGCCTGAGGCTGTGCCTGACTCATAGGTAGAGTTTCCTCCCAGCCCATCTTCTCCCCTTCTGCAGGTTCATCTTCCTCCTGAGGTCAGAACTGTAGACCACAGAGCAGAAAAGACTGTCCCAGAGGGAAGCAGCAGTTGGATGGCTGCAGGGAGTCCTCCATCACCATGTAGCCCAGCTTCTGAGGCTGCAAAAAGAACCCAGATCTAGGAGTTAGTTACCTTGGCCCCAGAATGTGCCTCCCCAGAACTGGGGTTGTCTTCTGCCCCTAAAAGGGGATTTCCTCACTTCTCAGGGATAGAGTGAAACTGCTGGGAGTCTGGTTTCTTGCTGAGCTCCCACTTCCTCTGCCTGTCCACTGACAGCCTAGGGTCCATGAAGAGGGTATGATGCTGAGTATAAAGATGTTGGGCAGAGGCAACAGGTCTTTGAGTAACAGCTAGAAGAGCATCAGAGGGAAGGGGATACTATCACAGTCGTAGTCACAGCCTAGGGAGAGCAGCTTGAAGAAGCTAGGGCTCAGAACTGCACCCCCTCTCCTGGAGTTCTGTGGGAAACCTTCTTCTCCTGGCCTGAATCCTCCAATCACAGGTTCACCTGTCATCCAGTTCTCTTCCTCCCTCACTGGGTGGTTGTTGCTGGATGGGGAAAGGAGGGGACAGGAAGAGCCAGCAGTTCACTTCAGCAGGGACTTGAGCCTGGGGCAGGTGACTCCTTGGAGGCTACAAGGGGGTGAAGAAAGGCAGACTACACACCAAGGTGTGAGTGTAGGAGGGAACAACATTAACTCTTTCCAAAGGGCAAAGCCTGACACAGGAGTTAATGAATGTTGGCTTTTAGATGGGAATTTGGGTTGGGGTTTATTGATTGAGAAAGTCATTGCAGGGGCTTCCTCAGTATAGGTTGATACCCTTGGAGTCCAGTTACTAGGGCACTGGGTGAAATAAAAGACTAGCAATAGCCAGGTGTTGTGGTGCACGCCTGCAATCCCAGTGGCTCGGGAAGCTGAGACAGGAGGAACACGAATTCAAAGCCAGCCTTAACAACAGGAGGCACTAAGCAACTCAGTGAGACCCTGTCTCTAAATAAAATACAAAATAGGGCTGGGGATGTGGCTCAGTGGGTGAGTGCCCCTGAGTTCAATCTGCGGTACCAAAAAGAAAAAAAAAAAAAGACTTAGCAATAAGGCATCACCGTATTGCTACATCATCCAAGAACAACACCCCAGAGGTATAGTTCAGGTGGCCACACCTCATGGTACTTCCTGGAGGAGGAAGGGATGGACCAGTGATGGCTTAAGGCAGTACAAGAAATGGAGATAGGCCAAGAAGTGGGTGGAAAAATAGCAGGAAGAAAGACAGGTCTTGAGGGAGCCACCAGGGAGGTGAGCAAGACCTGTGGCAGGAGAGGGGGAAATCTGTTGACCTATAATTCAGGGAACCTTACCTGCAGACTTCAACGTACAAAGGCAATGACCAATCAGGTATGTAACCTCAAGCAAAGCAGAGCCGGTTTCTGCCTGCTGGCTGCTTACATTCTCAGAAAGGATTCGCTAGATGATAGTGCACAAGCATTTAATTTCAGTGTGGTGAGTGCCAGACATGGGGCAGGGAAATAAGGCCCCGTGGGGGAATTGTGACACAGGCTTGGCCTTGTGTGGGGAGAGGATCAGGCTGGCTACTGCTGCTTAGCTCTCAGGCCCAGCAGACCCCTCCACTAAGGCCAGGTCTGGGCAGAACTGGAGCAGGCAGGGAAGGTTAGACCAGGATTCAGGCCACCCCTGCAGTGCCTAAGTGGGGCACATAGACCAGACTCTCTACTTCCACTGGAGGTGAAGGCCCTGAGGAGAAGGGTGGAGGCTGGGGATCAGGAAGGATTTCCTTCCCCCCTGGGTCAGAAGTCTAAGCAGCTAGGGCTGCCTCTCCATCCCAAGACAAAGATTGAAGGAGTGGCCTAGGTCTCTCTCAGTCAGAACTGTAGATTTACTTCCCCTCCTGAATCTGCTTCCCTCTTTGGGCTACTATTTTTTGTTTCCCTCTCTGGATCCACATTCATTTGTGTGTGTGTGTGTGTGTGTGTGTGTGTGTGTGTGTGTGTGGTGCTTGAGATTACACCTGAGGCCTTGTGCATGCATGGCAAGCGCTCTACTAACTGAGCTCTATCCCCAGCCCCCCTGTTCCCCATTCTTTGCACTCTCCCCTGGTCTTTCACAAGGTCCTCTCTGGAAGGAGGAAATAGGCAGCGAGTCTGGTGCCAGGAAGTCTTTGGACTGCGCAGCTTCCTCTCTGGCCCCAGCAATTCCCAAGTGGGATTTGGGGATGGGATTGGGGTCTGCTGTGAGGCTGGAAAGGCACCCTTATTCCTGGCCTGATTGCCTGATAATCATGTCCTTCCCCACCCTTCCCCCCACCTCCACCAGTGCTCTGGATACAGCGAGAGTGACCTACGGGTCCTGGGAGACAGAACTGGGTATCTCATGAGCTGGGGCCAGGACCCTACTGGGATCCCTCCCCCAGGCTCCTGTGGCCATCTCTGCCATGACTCTGAAATTAGAAGGCCAGGAGGGTGCAGAATTTGCATCCTGAACAGACACTGCTGGCCCAGGATGGATTGGAGGATAGAAGTGCTTGAGTGCCGTGCTGGGGGAAGGGGAGATCCTTGTAAAGAGTTAGTTGGTAACACAGTTAGTACATCAGCTGCAGGAGAAGGCTGGGGACTGGTATAGGTTGGGGAAGGGCATGGAAGGCTAGGAGTGAGTGTAAGGGACAGTGGCGGTAGCTGGAATGAAGTAGCTGTTTCAGAGAACTGACCACTCAAGGTCAGTTGCAGTGGCTCCTGGGTACTTGGGAGACACACACACACACACACACACACACACACACACACACACGTACTACTTGAGAAGCAAAAGCCGGGAAGAGAAAGTGGTGATTAATATCTGCACCTTCACATAACACCAAATTTGCATAGGGGGTAGGCCTGCTCCCCCTTTTGGGCACCTCCAGACCCGGTCCTCTTTCCTGCTCTCCTGCTTTCTCCCGCCCTCCAGCCACCACCATAACCACCACAGATCTATTCAGCGATTGTATCCTTGCCCCTGTCATACACGGGTAGCTTGCATACCAGCCAGAAGAATGCGTCTCCAGGAAAGTGGCTTCGTGTACTGCCTTCCCACTCTGGCCTCACCAAACTCCCATCTGGCCCTCAACCCTCACCATGAGCCCCAGCCTGCCCACTCCCTCACCATGAAAAGGCAGGAACCCAGTTTTCCTCTGCTACTGATCACTGTCACCAGTGGCTTGTGAGTGGCTGGCTGTGGCCTGTTATCCCTAGGAAGGTTTGGCTTGATGCCCATCAACACCTGCTCCCTGCCTTTGCTCCCCACCCCAGGAATGAGCAGGGGAGGAGATGAAGTGAACTGGAACCTGGGCAAAAGTCAGAGCGCATTAGACCAGGTTGCCAGGAGGTAGAGTCCAGATGAGGATACCTGGCTTCTCATCTCAGTTTCTCCCCATTATTKTTCAACCCTGGCCAAGAGGGAAGGTTAGGGATCAGGGGGAAAGGCTGGCAGCAGGTCTTTCATCCTCCATCTCCAAAATGACTCTTTGCAGTCCCACCAGATGTCTATTAGTTAAAACTTCCCTCCAACCTCTCTCTCCATCCCAGCAACCAACCTCAAATGACTCGTCTGAACCTTGTGAGCAAAGTCTGCAGCACAGAAAGAGAAAAGAATAGGAGACAAGGAAGTAGCAAGGAATGAGGGAGATGGAAACAGCTTGAAAATGAAATGGAAAACTAGTCCTTCTCCCTTCTCCACGGCCTGTCTGTAGGCCCACCGAGGCACCAGCTGACTTTTGTGGCTCCTCTTCATTTCATTCCACTCATAGCAATGAAACACCTATTTTATGCAAGACGCTCTACTGGGGAGGGAGATTGGTGTGTTACTGGGATAAAGATAATTCCCTTAGGCTCTATGCTCCTGAAACTTCAGGACTGGATCTTCCTGCCCAGTTTTTCAGCAGAGTTCCTGGCACTACAGTAAATATTGTTGAATAGATTAAAGATTCTTTAGAGATGCTTGTGGCATAGCATGAGAATGACTGGGGGAGGCAAGACTGAGAGCAGCAATCAGGGATGGAAGTGGGAGAGGTTGTGGTACAAAATTGTGGTAAAGTACATGACTATGCAGTCCGATTCCCTGAGTGTGACTCTACTGCTTACTAGCTGTGTGACTTTGGGCAGGTTACTTCACTGCTTTGTGCCTTAGTTTCCTCACTTGCAAATAAGCTGTCCTGAGGATAAAAAGGTGTCCACAAAGTACCTCAGAGTAACACAGCAGGCTGTAGATAGAAAGTGCTGGAAGAGACCACAACTAGGCTACAGTACTTTCAGTGGAAAACGGCACAATAGAGGTACCCAAGAGACGTTCCATTGGTTGAATCAACCAGGCTTAGCACCTGTTTAGATGTGGGAGGAGGGACCTAGCCTATCAGGTTCCTTGCTTAKGCAGTGGGGGTCTCCAAGAGCTAAGAGAAACCAGGCAGGCGGAGGGGGCCTTGGGCCCGAAGGGAGTTCTGGACAAATGGAGTTAAAGGCTCCTGTGGAAATCCAGGAAGTTATGGGCTTAGTGTGTGTAGAGCTGAGCGAAGAGGTCAAGGTGAGAGAAATGTAGTCCAGAGTCAAAGCCAGGGTCCTGTTAGTCCTCCTCCTCATTCCATTCTCTTGACTATTCCATGGGCCCTTGTCACTTGCCTGAAGGGATGGGAAGGGGTTGAGGACAGTCATGCTCTGACAGGAGCTCACTGCATGGACAGAGTGTCTGGGGGTGGGGGCGTGTTGTATAGCTTCCACTATCTGCTTATTCATCTCCTACCTGTGGAGCTAGTGCACTCAGGCGTGGAGACATTATCCATTTGTGGGCTTTTCTTTGTAGGAGCTGTCAGAATGTTTCTGAGGTAGCACTATAAAGTGGTAAAGCACACAGACTCAAAACCACTTGATTAGAATCACTCACTGCTCCATTACTTCCATTGGGCAAGTCATTTAATCTCTTTGAGGCTCAGCTTCCCCATCTGTAAAGTGGGATCACAATAATACCTATCACATTTGGTTGTGACAATTCAATCAGTGATTGCATAGAAAGTATCAAGTACAGGGCCTGGCAAATGTTACTGGTGTTATTAATTCTTTTCTGTCTAACACAACTGCCAGACATCTAATGACAGTCAGCGTAGGGTGGAGGCTGCACTAGGACATGGCGTGATGGTCCCCAAGATGATTCACCATCTGACTTGGATGTCTTCCTCAGACATATTTCCCAGTCTCTTGCTTTTCTTCAGGTCTCAGCCTCAATCAAATATCTACTGAGCAATAACTCCATTGTCCAGTCCTCATGCAGAGAAGGAAAGCCCTGCCCCATCACCTGCCTTGGCAGGAGGCTGGGGGCCTTGCCTGCTGCAAGAAAAGTGACACAAATGGGAGGTTCAATCCCTATGGTGGCCCCAGGCCACCAGTGAACTCAAGCCATCTTCTAAGTCTCCCAGGAGAGAGGACTGTGTGTGTTTGTGTGTGTGTGTGTGTGGGGGGGGTTGGAACAGTTTCATTTTTACCTATTTCTGAGCCTCAGTTTTTCCATATGTAAGGAGGTGATGGTAGTAGTATCTACTTTATAGGATAGTGTTAGGGAAAGCACTTGGGAAGATTGTAGGGGACATGATTGGCTTTTGTGGCTCTACTTTTGTGGTCTACAGGTAAGTAGGTGTCCTGCCTCACTTACCTGGTATCTTTTCCACTTGCCCAAAGCAGGGGCAGCAGAAATAGGGAATAGGACACTTTCTGACTCCATTGTCAATCTCAGGCAACTCCTGCAAGAACTTCTAGTCCAGGTCTTTGTCACCAGCAATCTGAAACTTCATTACTTTACCCCCTTCCTTCCCAACTCTTTTCCCCATTCATACCTGAGACTCCCAGTACCCAGTCTACCATCCTTTTCTGCCAGTATCCAAGCTAGTCTTCCTTTTTCCAAATTCCAGGTAGTTGGGTGGGTTTGGATCTGTGGTGAGATATTTTCAGACTCCCATCACTCCCTGGAGGGGCATTAAAAACTCTACTAAATTATTCTGCATTAAAAAATGACAAAATCATAGAATTTGGAGGGAAATGGATGGCATTAGAGCAGATTATGCTAAGTGAAGCTAGTCAATCTTTAAAAAACAAATACCAAATGACTCCTTTGATATAAGGGGAGTAAACAAGGACAGG